CTCCTGACCTTAGCTACTATGAAACTATGCTAGGGGAAGAGCCCTAGCAGTGAGTTGGAAGTCCCGGCTGTTGGTTATCAGGGCAGCCAGAACAAGCTAGTGGCCCACACCTGCCATCAGTCAGCTGACTGGAAAGGGCAGGGCCTGGCTCGTATATAAACCCCAGGGCTGAGGCCAGGAGGGTAGCTAAGGGGGAAGGAGCTTTTCCGGAGCAAGCAAAGGGGAAAGGCCTGACTGCAGGTACAGCTCCTGATACTGTTGAGGGACGGAGTACCCCGGTGTGGCTTGAATGATGTTATAGCCGGGTGGCTTGAATTTATGTTACAGCCCAGGGACTTGTGTTTTGTTTGCTGTTGTATAAGACTGGTGGTTTGGGTGAGGCTGTTAGGGGAAGGAGGAGGCCTCATTGGGGGCCCACATCAGCGTGAAGACCCCGGCGCCAGAGAGGGCACGGCATTTGGGGTGCACAGACCCCGGCGCCAACGAGGCGCAGAGTGAGACAGGGCTGTGGAGAGCCCAAGTGCCAGTGAGGAGCAGAGCGAGACAGGGCTGCAGAGAGCCCAGGGAGGACAAGAGGGCCAAATTACAAGGCCTAGACCAGACAATGTCAGCACCATCTGCGAGGCTTGGGGCACGGTAAAGGGGAGGTTGGAGCCACGCATAGCCCATAAGGCTAGGGTGCTCCAAAACACCCATGATGATATCTGTTTTGAAGCGGGACGCACCAGGGGTCCAGGAACCCATGGGGTCCAGAAAACCAATCAAAACCATGTCCGTGAGGACTTAAGGCAGCCTCTCTATTAATCAGTCCATCCAAGATGAGGCGGGCGAGAACAGAGGGTGCCCATTGGGCCAACTTGGTACGGTAAAGGGGCCCTGGGGAGATCACCGCCATCCTTAAGGACCCTAGCTCATGACACATGGGATCAAGTTACATGTAAAGAGGGAAGATGTGTGGATACCTTTAAGAGTGTTATGTGTAAGTTGTTACATTTGTTGGGGATTTCAGGATGGAACAAAAAGAAGCAGCAGAACAGTAGGCCAGACACAGCTCTCTGAATAAACAATTTTGTTTGTTCTATAAGCTTGACTCTTTGGTCTTTTGAAAACAATATGGTGAAAGAGGAAGAGAGCCCACCCAGGCTTTCCCCATTACTTACCATAGGCAGGCCGATGAGTGATAGCTGTGGGTGGATGCTGGGAGAGGCTTAGGCATGCTGGGTTCAGAGCAGCCTGAGGCTATGAATTGGCAGAGGGGAAGGATGGGGCCCGGGAGAAGAGGGGGCCCATGAAAAGGCGACTGGGAGAGCAGCCGAGGGAGGAGAGGAGGAGAGAGAGCTGGACAGTGCGGAGATGCCACAGGATATTGCCAAGCAGAGCAGGGAAGCTGAGTATGGTCCAAAGGGCGGGAGGAGCCAGCTGTGTGCCCAGGCAGAGGCACACCCAGGAGAAACCCTGGAGGAGGTCCATGGAATACTGCTGAGCACAGTGGGGAAATGGAGCATGGTATTGAGGCTGGCAGGAGTGGGCTATGTGCCGCAGCTGAAGCACTCACTGAGGTAGTGCTAAGAAGGGGGCCGTGGAGCACTGCTGAGCCCAGTGGAGAAGTGGTGTGTGGCCACAAGGAGCAGGCTGTGTGTCGCTGGAGAGCCATGCCATCAGGAGACCCCTGCGGAGGGGCAGAAGTTTGGGGCCAAGCCAGGCAGCAGAGTGGTCAGCGGTACAGAGGCCTGGGGCCACAGCTAAAAGGGGCCAGCACACAACAGGAAGCAGAACAAGGCTGCCAAGACTGGCAGCTGGAGTGACAACAGGAATGACCAGGCCAGACCCTGTCTCAGGTCAGATGGGGCCATGGTGGGAAGGAGTGGTGTCCCAATGGAGGGCCCATATTAAGGCTGTGAGGGCACAGTGGGGAGCTGCTGAGCCCACAGAACACAGCTCATTATGGGAGAGGTAAGAGGCACCCCGGCAGGGGTCAGTGGGCCTGAGGAAGCACAACCCGGAGTCCACACCAGCAGATGCTGATTTAGTTTCATTAATGTTTGCTTCTGGGTTTTCCTTTATGAGAACACTAGTACCTCAAAATTGAGGTGAGTTCAGTTGCAGTGGCCTCAGTCCATAGCCAAGGGATGGCCTAAGAGATGCTGGCAGCTGGGAGATCTCTCATCCCCTCAACAGTAGGGCCGTTGGATGAGAAGTGATCAACTGTAATTAAGACCTCAAGACACCAACGTCCATTCTGGCACTGGATATGGTAATGGTGGGGTAAAGGGGAGGTTGGAGCCCCACAAAGAAGCCAAGGTATAGGATCCCAGAAGTCACCTGTTGAGAACTCTCCCCCAAGAAGAAGAATGTCAAGTTGTGGCAGCCAGAAAGGAACAGTGACCAGAACACACAGGTGGTTACAATTCAGGGTCCCACCCTGATGTTGCCTGGGGGTAGGGCACCAGTCAAGAGAGGATTCAAGCCCTACAACATGTACCAGCAACAAGCACAGACTTTGCTCAGCTTGGGGAAAGGGGAGGAATCCTCAGTCCCTGGCCATGCACCTGTCTCTATGCCAGGGGCTAATTCCTAATTCCTTCCCCCTCCATGCCCTGTGTTTTGCTCAGCACTAGGGAAGGATTTCCCTGACAAGCCTCTTGCTGGCACAAGGGAAGGATTTTTCCCACCAATCTGTGCTTTTTCCAGCATGGGGAAAGGGAATTCCCAAAAGGCCTGGCTCTCTGGTGGAGAGATTGCCCAGAGCACCTGGTTCTGCTCTGGAGAACCCCCTGTGTTCTTTGCCCAAGGCTGAGAGGACTCCTTGGCTCAGGGTAGGAATTTCTCTTGCTCTGTCCAGTACCAGGAAAGAGGAATCACCAGCTTGTCTGCCTCTTTGTGAGATTGAGATTTCCACTCTCCCACCACCTCTCTTACCGAGCTCCGGGTGCTGAGGGGCAAAGGGTAGGGAGTCAGTTAAGCTGCTGACCAACGTTGAGTTCAGAGAACTCCCCTGTTGGGTCAGCAGCAGTAGTGTAAGCTGGTGTGACACTTTTTACCCCTATTGACAGCCTGTCTTTTGCACTTGTAGCTGTGCACAGGACATGATGTTTCTGGGGCAGAGAAAAAAACCTATGGCATGATTGATGTAACACCTGGTAAGGCTAATTAGCTTTGGTGGAAGACCATGCTAATATGGCTATATAGCTTCAGGTACTTTACCCAGGTCATTCTGCAACATTTGCTATTCTGGCCTTTTGCATTATCTATTATCAAGAGCCCTCACTGATGTAACATATTGTAGGCAACAGAAGTGTCTACTACCAGTGTCTTGTTGGGGAGAAGCAAAGAGAATGAAAGTCCCTGAACATCTGATAGGGATTTGTTCATCATTTTACAAAAAGAGAAAAAAGATGACAATGCTCTCCCAACAGTGAGATTTGCAGTCCAAAAATAGATACAATAATATTTCCCACACATGGTGCTACTTTGCAAATGCCAGTAAAATAATATAGTGGGAGCATAAAGAACATAAATATAACTTACCTATTCATTTCTTCAAGACAGTCAGTCGCAAAGTAGAAGCTTTTAATTTTGGGGTGGCATGCTTTAAAGGCACTGTAAAATAAGCACAAAGGAGAAACCCAGTTTTATTTTCCAAGAGTCTGTCTAGAAAGATTTTCTTTCCCCTTTTAAAATAAATTTACACACATTTTTCAAACAAAATTGAAAAATGCTAGAACTGATCTCTCAGATTCTTCAGTATATTTCAGAACTTCACAGACATTTGAGGGCTCAACATGAATTTCTCTCTAAATAAATCTAGATGTTGTCATACTCGCAACTAAAGATCTTTGACTGCATGTGTCACAGGTTGATTTCTGTTTGTAACTGGTATTCAGTAAATAATTCCAAACACTCCTAAATTATTTATACCATGTTTATGCTGTGCAAAGTACTGTTGTGCTGAGATATGCTGTACCAGCTCTGCATGTACTAGCCATGAACCAGATGGCTTGAACTATGTAAGGGCTTCAGCAGAACTCTCTGGACCAATATACACTGGTGTGCAAATGTGGCTCTATAGCTTTCAGTTGGGGGGTTAGCAGACATAGAGCTTGTCTCTGCATGGTGCTGCCTTGTGTCACATACCCATACCATGTGGGGCTTAAGTGCTGTTGAAAGTCAATGACCTGAGTGCTTTTGAAATATTATGCCTTGTGTTTAAGTTACAATTTCTAGTACCCTAGACAGTCAGCTAGTCAAAATGCATAACACTGATCCCATACTCTTTATTTATAGTATTCAAGTGACTGGAATCCTTCCCTAATCAGGGAAAAAAAACCCAAAAGAAAGAGAAACAACACAGAAAAAGGAAGGGGAAGATGTGACATTCTGAAAAGAGAGGATTTTGTTTTAGCACATTATTATTTATAATAATCTTCTTTATTTTTACAGTATTTTTAATATATTAGAAAAAAACATATTGTTTTAACCCAAGAGCTTGCTTTTACAGCAACAAAGGAGAAGGAAAAGAAACTGAAGGATAAACCAACTTTTGGAGCAGGTGGGCTGGACCTGATGATCTTGTGAGGTCCCTTCCAACCCCTAACTTCTATGAATTTATGAAACTATCAACATAGTGCAACTGTAGTTGACACTGAAAATACACCTAACTACCAACTGTAACAATAAACCCCTATAGCATTCAAAATAAGTGTCTCAATATTTAACTTTTGGATTACATAATTACAAACAATACATACAGGGACCGATTTTGGATTCAGGTGGTAGACAACTACCATTTTTGAATTTCACATGAAATAATCAAGGAAAAGTATATTTTTCTTCAGAATAGCTAAGTAATTGTTAGAAGTATGTTTTTTTTTCCCTTTACAATACTATCTTGCAGGTTACTTACTTACTCTGAAAATGTTCCTAATGGTATTAAAAAAAAAAAAAAGCAGTGGGAGAGAGAGTGCAACTACAGATTTAGAAACAAAGATAATTGTGCTGATTTTGTAGCTCTGTTTTAATAGAAACTCAAGTGAATATAGTGCCCGTGAAAGAAACAGGATTGACAGTGCTAGAGACCAATACCTACTAATTATTGACAGAAAAAAGCAGGCAATTTTTTTTTGTACCTAGCACTACAAATATACCTCTTACATAATTTTGAGCACCTCTCTTGAAGTGAGATAGAAGTTTGTTGTTCCTGCTTACTCAGTCATTGATTTTTCTGACACCTGGGTGCCAATGAGGTGGACAATTATGCACCAAGACCAGGACTGTTATATCAGAGGTCATTAAGAAATGTATCTGATAATACCGGGGTTGCTTACCAGAAGCAGGCTATATATAGAAGTGAAAGTCTTTTTATCCTATTATTAGTCTTTTAAATCAATTATCTGGAAAACCATGGGGAGGCAGGAAGCTTAATGCCTCAAAGTTAATGGATACCTATCTAAAAATACCCACTAAAAGGATATACTTTGGTTCAGCTTCCTGCTATGAAATGTATTCTGCTAATTCACTAAATCACTAATGGTGTGACTTAATATTGTACTTTTTAAAGTACATAAGAACATAAGAATTGCCAGGCCCAGGGCCAGACTGTCCATCTTGCCCGTATCTTCTTACACAGTGGCAGAGAGTGGATGATGAAAAGGAGAGTGAACTGGATGTGGCCAGGGTTTTTTCCCCACTGTTCCTCTCTCTCAGCCTCCAGAATTTAAGGTCTAGGAAGTTTTGATTTAGAGGCTTTATTCCTAACTCCCATGTTCATTAGCTCTTGATGCACCTTTCCTCCCAGAATTTGGCCAATCCCTTGGGAAGCTAAACCGTCAGCTTCCACAACATCTGATGGAAATGAGTTCCACAGTTTGAAAAAAAAATTCCTTTTATTAGTTTTAAACTTACTACCTACTAGTTTCATTTTGTGACACCCAAATTCTTCAACTTCTTAGGGGGCCCTTTTAACGTCTGTCTAATTAGCTTCCTCATTTTTGTGTAAGATTTCGTATGGCCTTTTTAAAGCTAAAGTCTACTGTAGTAGCTTTTCTTCTTGTCTCCTTTTTTTATATGGATGTCAAACGCAATTGCATAGTGGTCACTATTGCAGACCAGCTCAGTAACACTTGCCCTATGCATTAAATCTCATGCGCTACTTAGGACTAGATCAAAAACGGCCTTTCTTTTTGTAAGAAGCTGGTAAAACTGTTTAGGTTGCGCTAATGGTGTGACTTAATCTTTGCACCTTTTTAAGTACATGGAACTCAAACAGAATTTTGACTGCACCATTTTCCTGTGAGATAATTAGACTAGCATGAGCGAAAGCAGCCCTATCCCACATTCCTAGTGGTCCATCAACTCCCACTGCAGCTATTAAATCTTTGGCTAGCATGGTCAGGCCACAGCTGGAGTACTGTGTCCAGTTCTGGGTACCCCACTTCAAGAGCGATGTGGACAACATTGAGAGGGTGCAGAGGAGGGCCACCCGCATGATCAGGGGACAGCAGGGCAGACCCTACAATGAGAGCCTACGGGACCTGAACCTGTTCAGCCTTCACAAGAGAAGGCTGAGGGGGGACCTTGTGACTGTCTATAAACTCACTAGGGGGGACCAGAAGGGTTTGGGGGAGACCTTGTTTCCTCTAGCGCCCCCTGGGATAACAAGGAATAACGGCCACAAGTTGTTGGAGAGTAGGTTTAGATTAGACATCCATAGGAACTACTTCACAGTTAGGGCAGCTAGGATCTGGAACCAACTTCCAAGGGAAGTGGTGCTGGCTCCTACCCTGGGGGTCTTTAAGAAGCGGCTCGATGCCTACCTGGCCGGGGTCACTTGAGCCCAGTTTCCCTCCTGCCCAGGCAGGGGGTCGGACTTGAAGATCTACAAGGTCCCTTCTGACCCTGCTTCTATGATTCTATGAGTCAACCATGCATCACTTACTTCAGTGGAGTGCCCCTGAGCTACATTAGCAAAGATCTGAGATCAATAATCCTAATTCTTTTCTCACCCTGGCATCATCCTGGCTATAACTTTGGTTATATGGAGTACATTTCAGGATTGGTTGAATATAGCACAGAAAATAATGCATACACAACCCTTCCTGAGTCCTCTTATGTTGAACAATTATATAAACCTACTGAGAGCAACAATGATTTTATCCGAGTTATATTTTCATCATCATGCTATGGAAAATATTCTAGATCAGAGCTATCCAATTGGTGACCCATGGATTTCACATCCCCACAGTGGGTTAGCATATGATCTGTGGGCTCCCACCTGGCTGCCACTCCCCATTTCCCCCTGCTTGCTTCTGCCCCAGTGGCTGGGGGGGAGCA